TGTTGTCCACACGGCTCTAACAAGCGGGACGAAAGCCGTAATCTGTGTTTGCTCTTCGTGGAACTTGATCGCCTCACTCATGCCTGCGGCTTCGCTGATCTGACAGATTGCATCAACAGCCACGCTTTGTCCCTCGCGGAATTTGTGGCAATCTTGATCTCGTTGCATGTATTAGCACAGGGTATCAACCGACTGCATGCAAAGCCTGATCGTTGCGGTATGGCGGGTTGGCGGGGGTCTAGGAGGCTTGTGCGTCCACGTCTGGGAAAAAAGAAAGGGGCAAGGGGCAACTTACAGGCTGCAATGACATTGTAACAGAATCTCTCCCAAAAGGTCCTCCCCTCCTTGTCCTTGGACCGAACGACGGACGGGGCAAGAAGGTCCCGGAACACGGCAGCATCAACCAGCTGCTCAGCCGCCGGGGGCCGTGGGTTGGGAGAATTGCTACTTGGAGGAGGAGCCACGTCGGCGAGCCGGCTCATGAAATTCTCCACGGCGGAGTTTCCAGCTGACGACAGTGCGGCCACGGACTCGGTCCCATACACACGGCCTAGCCTTTTGACGAAGGACTGGGACGCCCCCACGTTGAGGAAGTGGAAAGCTGTTAGGTTTTCGGCCGTCAGCGCGCCGCGCTCGATCGCACCGGCCTCGTCTAGGGCCACAAGGAGACTTTCGCGGCCCCACTCGGCGGCGAGGTGGACGAGCGGGATGCTACTCCGGAAGGTCAAAGGATCGCCTTTGCAGAGCGGCAGCAGCACTTCGGCGGCGACGGGCTCTACGAGCTCGGGGGACTTGACATTGACCCATCGGGACCGCTCGTGGAAGTAGGCGACCGCCTCTGCCAGAGGCGTGAGTCCCTTCTTTGTCACGCAACGTAAGGCTTCTGCCAGCATCTCCATTTTCGGGCGGCTATGCGGGAACCGGACTGATTAGCAGTTGGCAGATAAAGGTATTACGGTCTTCCATCCGCTTCCGAAAAAGAAAACAAGAATAAAAGAAGGGAAAAAAAACTCACTGCCGCTCGACAAGCTCCCGAAGCGTTCTTGCATCGTTGTTTGCTGCGGCGACGTGCCAGACTGTCCGGCCGCCAAGGTCCTGGGCTCGCGACTCCGCTCCGTGACCGAGAAGTAGCTTCAGCATGCTTTCACTTTCAGCCACGTGCAGAGGAGTTCTCCTACGGGCGTCTCTTGCGAAAACATTGGCTCCAGTCCGGATCAGGACCTTGGCCAGCATGTATGCAACCTCTCCCTTATTTTCCACCGTGACATGAAGAGCAGTCTGCCCGGCGTTTTCATCCCACATCTCCGAGCCTCGGTTCTCCAGCGGTTGGTTCACGTCCCAACGCGGATCCTGCATGAGGCGGAGCATCTGATATGGCTTGAATTCCCGCAGAGTACGCTCTCGCAGCCTCGAGTACATCCGGTCGCTGCAGTTGATAGGTCGGCGGGCAATCTCGGGGTCCCCACGCTCCTGGGGGAACTTTGCACATACCAGCTCGTACCTGAAGGCGCAGTTCCATGCGGTAGTTAGCAGTAGGCCTAGATCCTCTTGCTCGGCGCCTCCCCGAGGCCCCGGCGGCTGCAGCACAAGGTCTGTATGCCTGTCCATCATGTATTCGCAGATCTTGTCGAGAAACACCCGCGCATCTGACGACAAGGCCCGTCGCTGATGCCGAGCCAGTGTGTTGTACAGGACCACTGGCGTGGCATGACTACATAGATCCGGGAAGAATATGCCGTCAAGAACCTGGATGAAAGTGGCGTCCAGGGATATTGGGGGCCAGAGCTTTGCCTTCATCAGGTGGATGAACAGGTCCGCATCATTAAGGAAGGCGCATCGCATGAGTGCACTCGCCGCCAGGGACAAGATGCCTCCCCCTGTGCGAGAGGGGAATTTGGTTGAGCAGCTACCGCTCTGTTCCAGTAGGTAGAGGATGGTCCCTCGCACGTCTATGCTGGAGACGGAGGTTTTTTCTTGCCTTAACGGGACAAAAAAGTCCTGCCATGTCTCAGACTCGCTGATAGCAAAAGCCCTTGGTCCCAGGATGGCGAGGGCCAAGGGAGGACCATACGCGGTGTTTTTGCCGAAAAGGGCCAGCTTGTCAGACTCGCTCCAAGTCTCTGTCGCGCCGCGACAAACATCTGGGAGACCGAGGGATACGGCAATGTGAAATGCGGTTAGACGACCGGCCGTTAGTTCGTCCACTAGCTGTATTAGAGCCTTTGGCGTGACCGAAGATGTTACGGTTTTGAGCAACGCGATTCGCTGCTTCGTTTTCCGTTTGCAGCATGCCGGGGGGAGGGGGTAGCTGCGTGACTGGACGCCAGGTTTTCGGCCGGAAACATGCCGGCTCCGCGAGGCCAGGGGCTGCACGAATCGGCGGTACGGTGAGTAAAGCAAGGCCACGAATGCGCCAGGATGGGCCCACCCTGGACGCTTTGCCCGACCACTCACCCACAATTCGTCCAGTCTCTGCATGGTCACATTCGCATCCAGGTCTAGATTTATAGGACCACCCCCATAAGGCTCGGCCGGATTGAGTCTAAGCAAACGCCACAACCAGCTACGCGGTTCTCAGGTCGCGGTCCGCGCTGGTAAACACACCACAACAATCCCAGCCACGCAGAAAAAGACTCGTTGGCACAAGTACCTCCGAACCTCCGGGTGTGGCCAACATCAGTGTAAAACACGAGACGCCTCAGTGCAAATCGGAACCCAAGGAGGTTTACATTTTGGACTGGTTGCCTGCTGGGCACGCGGAGCGATACACTGGCAGCGTCACATTATCGTCTTGTCATCGCTCAAAGTGCTATTGCAGGTACCACCCAAAGCTCTTCCGTCTCGGTCTCCGTAGCGAACGCCCGATTTGCTACCTCCTAGTGGTGCTTAATGATAAGCCCTTTGCCAGGCAGTACATGGGGGTACAAGTTTGACTGGCGAGACCGGACTTGGCCTCCAGGCTGCACGCACTTTGGTGCAACCGGAAATACAAGGATAATGCATCGGGGCGAAGAAGGGCCGCAGCCACTGACCAGGGAGTGAACACGGGCTGCCAGCTGGTTCGACATTGCTGCCTTGCGGTAACCCAGCCACCGCCGCTACCATTACCACGGGGGGCTTGGCCATTTGCCGATTGCATTTGCCGGACGAGGTGTTAGTTTCCAAATCCGTTGGTAAGCAGCACAGCTAAGCTAGGGCGGTCACGGTAGAAGCTGGTTCGAGCCTGACTGGCATTTGCATG